TACATTTGACATTATGACTGTAGTGTACTTTTCAGAGTCTTGGGGACTAAGGGGACCAGATATCCTTAAAGACTTCTCGTATTCTGACGTCTTAAGTATGAGCAGTGCTCTTTATCCAGATGTTGAACAGGAAATCCGCTTTACACTGGACACAAAAAAATTAAGAGAAAAAAATAAGGCTATAAAACCTCAATTCAAAATGTTTAAATATGGCAGAGACGTACACATAGCCTTTAAGTCTGCTCACAGTGCTCTTTGCGGGTTGGCAAACAGTTCTGAAGGATTTCTGAAAAGTCAGCATTTGGAGCGTGGATCGGAATGCATTGACTCACTCAAATTTCCCCCCGAGTTCCCTGATACAATCATTGCAACTTTGAGAGAAAATTGGATTGAATTGGTTAACTATTGTTCAATGTCTTCCATTATAAAAGAAATTACACCATATTTCAACAATGCAGTAGTTGAACACTTTATCAGTGATCTTAGGTCATTTTTGGGTGACAGCGGCTTCTTCCAGATTTACAAGGTCCCGCCGGGCGCTGAGGTGGAGGAGGGAGATTATGTTGAATCTGATAATACTCCATTTTGGTCAAAATGTAATTTTATTGTCATTACTATATTTTGATATATTTATATATACATACAAACTCAAGTGTTTGTCTGGAGGTTTGTTGTCTGCATCTGTCCTGAGCTCTTAAATAAAATAAATAATAAAAACTCACATTGAAACTGTGTTGGCTTTGTTCCCTCATTAGCAACTAAATGTCCCTGCCTGTTCAACAGGTGTGTGGACATGAACGAGACACATAAGTAGGCAAGGAAAAAGAAATGGACAAAGAGACAGAGGGTGGATGGAGTAAAGGCAGGAAGGACATAATCCACATTTGACTATACCCCAAAATCAGCAACTGGATCTCCTGCCAAAATGAGTTAAATAAAATAATGCAGAATTTGACAGGACAAAGTACACTGAAAAAAATGGGAAAGTGGGGTTGTTCAATTTGCAAATATGCATTTAAACATAATTTATTAATGATTCTCGTCGAAACATGAATCAATCATGTAGAACTATGTTAATCTTGAGGGGTGTACGTTCTATAAGTCTCAATCATGTTAAGAAATAAGAAAAAAGTTGATGTTTGTCTCTGTAACTCCGCCCACTGAGCACCTACGTCAGCAGCTTGCTCTGCAGCCGATTACTCAGCTTCTAATAGACCTATCGCTAAACCACGCCCCAAATAGAATTTGTCCAATCATATCACAGCGAAAATCCCTCCTGACAGAAAACTCGGACATCACCAGAAAAGCCGTTTGTGGGGCGTATCAAACCAAAACCAGACGTCTGTGATCG